CCTTACAGATCTGCCAGCTCAGTTCTGCTCCCTTGTTCCTGAGAGCTGTTTTGCAGGAGGTCTTGTTGACTAACTCCTTGAACAGCTGCAATTTTGCTTTACTAAAATTCAGAGTTCTGACTTTACTCTTCACCTAACCCATATACCTCAGGACTGTGAATTCCACCACTGCATGATCACTGCAGCCCAGGCTGCTTCCACTCTTGAAATCACTGATTCATTTGCATTGGTGACCAACAGGTCCAGTATTGTAACCCTTCTGGTAGGACTGTCTATTACCTGGCATAAGAAGTTATCCTCAATGCATTCCAGGAGTCTCCTGGATTGCCTACAGCCTACTGTGCTACCCAGCAGATGTCAGGGTGGTTGAAGTTCCCTGGCAGGACAAGAGCCTGCGAGCATGATGCCTCCTGTAGATGGAGTAAGAAGGCTTCGTCAGCAGGCTCCCCTTGATCGGGTGGCCTGTAGTAGATGCTAACCACAAGGTTCCTTTTGTTGCCTTGGTCTCTAATTCTTACCCATACGCTTTCAACCTTATTGAGGCTATTCTTCAGAGACAGCAATTTGCACTCCATCCACTTCTTGATACAGAGGGCAATTCCTCCACCTTTCCTTCCTCATCTGTCCCTTCTGAGCAGCCTGTAGCAACTGATAGCTGTACTCCAGTCTTGGGATTCATCCCATCAAGTTTCAGTAATGACAACTAGATCATAGCTTTCTAGCAACATGGCAACTTCCAGCTCCTGTTTGTTGCCCATGCTGTGTGCAATGGTGTAGAGCTACTTCAGCTGCCAGCTATGTTACCTCTTAGAAAACCACCCCTTAATAATTAAGATAGCCACTTTTAATACCCTCTGTAACACAAGGAAAAGAAAGAGGTACATTTACATCTCACTTTACCTCTTTTATTTTATACAGCAGCTATAAGAAGAGGTGATTAGGTCCCTAAAAGTTCTTATTTCTTTCCAGTGGTTGTAAAGAAAACCTAAGCAACTACTATAAGCATCTAAATTTGATCAGATGGATAACAATCCAGAGAAAGGTTCACCTGCACAGGTTAAAACAGAAATCAGGATCGTAACTCTTGAAAGAAAGTAATCTCAGTACTGCAAATGCAGACAGCAGTGAGTATGCTGGAGGTTATCATTGATCAGTGAAAAGAAAATACTGGTCACAGTAAAGTAACAAATTAAAAAAAAACCCAAACCAAACCAAAGCAAAAAATTAAGAATGGGCATAAATTCCTATAGTACGGATATTTGACCACTGATATTTCATATCTAGCAAAAGTAGGTAGTGAAGATGCAGCTCCATTAATTCATTTGGATCTCATAGTGACTCATACCAGAGTTCAGGAGGAATAGAATAGATTCAGCAGTTTTTGAGTGGGTCTTAGACAGAGAAGCCAGCATGATTCAGACCTGGTTGTATAAATAAATCTTTCCATACAGTGAATATTATTTTCTAGTCTTTTAATATTCTGTGTGGGTGTTTGTAAAAAAAAGATGGGTTACTTTTAGGTATGGCAATGTCCACATGCACATGTACACAAAACCCAGAGAAAGAATGGAACATGAGTCAACAAAATGAAATATAACTCCATGGCAATCATGTCTGTAGCAGGTGAAGGACAGAACGCAAGATTTCTATTAAATAAATCATAATTTATTACACATGCCTGTATTTAGATGCACAGTTAAGTACCTAATTACATGAAAAATCCAATTGCCGTGTTAAGCGATATTAATTTTCAGGCACACCTGCTGAGCTTAGGGTTGTCATTCAGGTACCTTCTCAGTTGCATGCTGTTGTGCACCACCTGCAGAAAATATCTGTGTGCCTGTCAGGAGTTTGGCACAGGTTATTAGTGAAGAAAACCATGGCTTTGCAGGTTGAGCAGGCAGTCTCATGGTCTATCCAGCATAGCTGACAAATTTCATTACGATTCCTAACTGGAGCTCTGGAAGTGAAGCTTTTTCTGTTCTGATGAGGTGATATGAAGGGAGAGCTCTTTCTCTGCTCAGACTGCAGATGCTTTTGATTTCTTGGGCTTCATCTCCAGTTGATGAGTCCTTCACTATGCTTTCCTACTTTTTTTTATTCTTTCTCTACTTCCTTGACACATGCTGTATGCCATTAGAGAGCAAAAAATACTGCTAGAACTTCTGTGCTTAGTGTCGGTCCATTTGCTTTGTTGATTATCATCCTAACTGTCAAAGAAGTGAAATGGTATTGTTTTGCAGTACCTACACTCCATAGTACTAGCTTTTACATTGTTCTTTGTTTCCTTGACAGGTAGAAACTGTTTCTGTTTTTCCTCATGAGTGCTTTATGTGTGATACTGAACAGCTCACAGTGACAGCTAAAACATAGCAAGCAGCACTAAAGGACATTTCTCAAATGTGTTTCTTTGCCCTTTCTTCACACTCAACGTGTTAATAAGACTCAAGACTACCTATGTTTTTCTATGAAGGATAGAATCTTTAGTGCTTAAATATCTCTACACCCTTGTAAATATTACTTAAGTGACAGAAAGTGAGTATTCATTCTGGGAAGATTATCTGATTTCTTTTACAGCTTTGGCTTGAATGTATTATTTTAAAAGCTCCTTGCTTAAACCAAGAAGTGACATTGTCTTACATATTCACCCATTTTACTGTAAATTTCAGGGAATGAGGTTGAGGGAATGGAGCGCTATATGACTGGCCTGGAAAGGGGCAGGTAAACAGTGAGGGAGGGCACAGCAGGGGCAGGAAAACGGGACAAGACTAAAATTGTAGTGGATCAACCACTTCTTTCCAAGGAACTGAAGCCTAAGATCTTTAAAGAGAACTTTGAGGCTGTCCTATTTCAGAGCCCAGTGCAGTGAAGTACTAGATGTTGGAGCTGATGGAAACTTTCTGGAGAAACACACAAATTTCACTGTAAATATTTCTGATGAATATGGTTAAACTTTCAAGAGGCACCAGGTGGCAGGACAGTTCTTGCTGGTTGGTGGTACACCAGTTCCCTCAGCAACTGCCTTTCTGGCCTTCTTGTCCTCATCCAAGGGTGTTTGCCTGTGCAAAGATGTCAGGGTGGTTGAGGGCCAGCTCTTCAGCACCTGAGCAGGTGGTTCATCAGCAGCCCAGCTCTCTCTACTTCCAGTTCAGTGCTGAGAGGCACATGTCCAGAAAGCTGAGACCAAACAGAAACTTCTGCTCTTAGTCTACCAGAATTTATTCATTTTTCTCTCAGAGAAGTTATTTGGCTTTTTCAAAAATCCCATACTTGAAGGACAGCTGATATGGCAGTTGTGGGAGATACCCACTACAGCTTTCCAGCATTCTTCATGAAACCTAATCTTGGACACTGTATGGCTTGTTTCCACCAAGGGTTTCTTCATGCCTCTCATGTACTGTCATGACTGGATAGCTTCAATTTAGGTGGAGGAAAAAAATAAAAGCTGTCATTTCTTTAGATTGTAGAAAGCAACCACACAGTGTTTTTCACCTATTCACTTTTTCTCCATCTACTGACAAAACTAGACCTCTCACTGGAAAGCAGTTATTCTTTCAGCATTTTCTTGACCCCTACAAGCTGAGGACTCTCTGCCATCTGTCCTGTTTCTCAAACACAGATGGGTGATGGCCTGTGCAGAGCTCTGTTCAATGGCTAGACTGCTCCACATATCTGAGATGCAGAAAACAATATTTACTGCTACAATGTTGGGTCAGCCTCCAATTTATTCTATGGATGCATGTTTAGCTTTTGGCCACGCTATAGGGAAATGACAGCATGAGATGATGCAGCGACTAGGATGTTGATCTTTAGGTGCTGATGGACAGGCAAGTAGGCATAAATGCTGGCAACTGAGCAGCAGTTTAAAAATTACTGTGATACCAAAGACTTTATTCAAGTGTAGGTTACAAAACCAGCTCTCTACACTCCATGGAAAAGTCAGCATTTCTTGGTGTTGATAATATAGTTCTAAATTTCATGGAAGAACACAGGGCCACCTCCAGACCAAGTGGCAAGTGGATGAAGCAGTATAGTTGTTAGTCATGGTCCTCAGACTTTCCAGTTTGGGCATCTGTCTTAATGCACTAGAGATTCCTTCTGGCTTGTAAACCTGCCTTCCCCAAACGCCACAGCACTGGAGTGGTGGTGAAGGGATGAAGGCATTTCTGGCATGGAGTGTGGAAGCATGACGTGAACATGGAAGTTGTAAAGTTGGACATGACCTGCTGAGTCCCAGAGACTGCAGTGAACATAAAAGCAAGTTAGCCCCACTTTTTTTTGCAGAGGATGTTTTTGACACTTTTTGATTTGCGTCATCTTCTCCTTCACTATTCTTTATATAATCAGCAGTGCAAACCCAGGTAATAAAAAATGTAATAAAGGCAAAGAATTTTGCTCCCTCCAACAGGAATTATCTGATTTTTAGACAACCAAGGAGATAAAAAGAAATTAGGAAAATAACCATGAAAGAGTTTCCTGATCAAGTGTTTCAGAGAGTTATTTTCTCCTTTGGGAAAAAAAAAATAAAAATAAAAAAGAAGTCTTAAAAAGCTGCAAAACCTATACAGAAGCACACAAACATCCATGCAAACATCCATGTGCAAGTATAGGGAACTCTAAAATATACTACCCATGTGAGCTCAGGTTTATCCCAGTATAATGCCTATAGATTAAATTCCAACTGATTGTGTTAAATATGAAAATTTTCACTACATTAAATGGAGTCTAATTTTGTATATGTATTTGTATATAACAGAAGATTTGTGTATTCATAAGAAACTAAAAAGCTATAATTCATCATATATATCAGCTAAATAGCAACAGCCCAATCATGTTGTTTTTTTAGGCAAAAATAGCATTTTCAATCTCTTCTTAGGATGATAACATTTCAAGTATATTTTACTCTCCATTTACATACTAACTTCTCCAAAAGCAAATAAATTGAGTAAAATCTGCTGTGCACATATTTAATCCCTTCTCTTTTTATTCTTTTCACACAGAGGTTGAAAGATTTAAAACAAAGGGAATTTGCTCGAAATGTGGCTTCAAAGTCATGGAAAGATGAGAAGAAACAGGAAAAAGCACTCAAGCGGCTCCACCAGCTTGCAGAGTTACGGAAGCAGTCAGAATGGCAAGTATTTTTATTTATATTGCATTGTAACGCCCTCTTTCCCCAGTCCCAGAAGAAATCTCCATATTTTTACTTCCACACTGTGGAATGTACAGAGATTGTGTATACTGTAACCTGTTTTCAGCTGTCCTCGGCTCCAAATGTTCCTGTCCTACAAACCATAAAATTGAAAGCCCTGAATTAATTACTTGCTGTTTGAAGGTTTCTGTTTTTCTCTCCTGTAGCTAGTTATTCTCCTCTCTTCTGAACTGAGTGGTTTGAAGATGTTTTTATAATATCACCATTTTTCCTTATTCAAACTGACCTGAATAGATTAGTATGTCTGTCTTCTTGTTTGATAGTAAGTGAACAGGAGAGGAAAAACACCTTTTTGAGCATCTGTATTTAGTCTGTGAATCATTTTCACTACTTTCAGTGTACTGATATTATTCTCACATTTTCTCTGTAGAATAATGGAAGTATCATCATATGAATGAAAACCAAGTAATTAACTGAGTTAAGTTTATCCAATACTGTTTGGTCTATTGATAAATATCGAGATACAGTGCAAAGTTTGCACTGAGAAACCTTTACATTTGAGAAATTTCCTTTGTTTAATGACACTGAATGTTTCATTAGAATAAATTGCCACTAGACAAATTGTTTATGTTAATCTATGACCATAATGAGTTTAGGTAATTAAATTGGCATTGTTTGAAATTCATATCAAGCTTACTCTACTCCGGAAATAATAACATTCAGAGTTTATTACACATTCATTTTAGCCTATGTAATTGCATTTGAATAATATGCTGAAATATACCAGTTTAGTGCTAATGTGTCAGTTTCATGGTTACAACTCCATTTTCATATAAATTCACTGAAAGAAATGTAACTGCTTTTATTCCCACACACTTGAAGATGTAGTCTCAGATAGACCAATAAGGTCAGCGGTAATAGGAAATCCAGAGTGAGACTAGGAGGGAGAAAATGGGTTTGCTTTTAGGAAGAGCCAGGAGTCCATAATCCTTTACAAAGAGCCTGGAAAGACAGTGCTTGCTATTCCTCTTTGTAATGACTAATAGGTTCAGAGGTGGCTGAGAACCAGGATCTTGGCAGAGGGGTAGCACTCCCATGTGCTCAGGCAAGAAAGAAATTCATCCTTTCTAAGCAAAAGTCTGCACATACACAATTGTTATTTTCTCTGAGTACTGTGTCTCAAGATCCAACAGAGTTTCTTACAACAGGTTAATATAATTTGACAACAAAATTATTGTTAATTTCATGCACAGAAAAAGTGAAAATGCAGCTTTGTTTTGCTATTCCAAGGAAACTTTGAAAATTATCTTTCTATATGCCTTCTCAAAGAAATAATTTCTTCTTGATGTAGAAATTGGGTTGAACTTTTATCTCCTGATGTAAAATACATGGCAAATCCAAATCTATTCTCAGAAATGCATATATATTCTCATACTCCAAGTTGACCCTACTCCAGGGAGTCTTTATGTTGTTCCCACTGGTGAAGATCAATGCATTTTTATAGCATTTTAAAACATTCTAGTCTATTTATAGATAGCTGTTATGCAGATCCGGCCATCATAATTTACTTACATTTAATTAAACTATTTTCTAATTTTTTATTGAAGTCTTTACTGAAGCTGGTTCCAAAATTTTTTGTGTAAGTGTACAGTAGTACTGAATTGATAGCAAATGTAGATAATTAGTCTAATGAAATGCATGTTTAAAATATTACTTGGAATAACATTTGTATGGTGACTATACATGTCTTATCTCTAATGTAAATGGCAGCAGTCATTCCAATCTCAGTTAATTATCTATTGCAAGAAATCAATGGTTTACCATGTTTGTTGAGGCCTTCTCAGGTTTATTTATTTATTTTTTTTTAAGTACAAGAAAACTAAACCACATATTTAAAATCTGAGAGTCTGGGGAAGAGGAAAACTGTAGTTAATGAAAGTAGAATACAGAAAGAAGAAATATGGCAAAGTAAGTTAAATAGTGATTGATAATGAGAGCTCTGAAGTTGTCATTAATATTGATGAAAATCCACCTTGTGTCGTTTTCCCACCAATGTTGGGTAACAGTTTTAACATAATATCACTCTGAATATTTCACAAAAGCATTTATTTTGGAATAACATAAAGATAATATAAAAATCTGCTCTTTAAAAAATCATACATACCCCCTTCCCAAGCAAACAGAAAGCTGCCTTTTCTCTTACAGAGTTTGACTCTGCAGATGCTCCAGGTAGAAAAGTTTCATTTTGAACAAGGCCCAATTTCCTTTGCAGTGGCCTCTCAGAAAGCCAAGACTTACACAAGTTTCTCCTTAGTATAAATTCAGAGTAAAGACAATATTGTTTATTCTTCACGTACATGGGCATAAATCTGAAAAAGATTATTCATGTTCTGACTTCAAATCATATAATTTCCAGTATGTAAAACTGTCTTGCCAATATAAAACCCCAAGCTTGGGCCTAGACTGCACATTTACCCTTTAGAAACTTTAGGAACTTAGTTTTCCCTTGTAACAGTGCAAATAACACACTTCTTTACCAGACAGCTATCGTGAAACGTGAGTTCTGTCTTAACTTGGTTAATTAATACAGCTTTCTTTTTATTATTTATTTATTATCTTACAGCATCACTGGGAGTAGATCATTGCTTAAAGCCCCCCGATTAGTCATGGAAAAGCAACAATCACCCGACAGCATTTTCTTGTACAAGGGCAGCAAGTTCACGGCCAGTTCTCAAAGAATGGCCATGACTGAAGGACAAGGTTTCTCCAGCAGTGTAATAGAGAAACAGCAGCTTGTCGTAAGCAGGCATCAGTCCCCTACTGAAAGACCGCGTGCACTTGGAAATCAAGTCCCACGAGTGTTCCCAGACAGCACCAACACTTCTCAAAGGGCAGGAGTGTCCTTCTCATTCTCTAAAAAAGTCCCTTTGAAGCTCGAGTCCTCAGCATCAGTCTTCAGTGAGAACTCTGAAGAAGGAAATGATTGTAGTGAGTCCCTCAACCATAAAACAAAGCAAGCTCTTGAGAGTTGCCTTTCTGGCACATTTTTGGACGAGGATGTGAAAGTAAGCTTGGATATAGGGCCACATATTACACAAGTCCAAATGGATTTGGATAACAGTACATCAAGTCATGTAGCTGCAAAACTTAAAATGCTAAAGGAAAATGATAAAACTAGTGACAGAGAATTAGAAGAAAAGGTCAGTGCTCACTCTTCATTTTCCAAAGGTAAAATACAGCTTTCAAATTTGGATTTTTCTGGTTCACTTAGAGAGACAGAGCAAGAAAGCAAATTGAATGAGTCTGAGCAATTGTTAGAAACTTTCATTTCACCTTCATGCCAAGCTAGCAATTTTTGTCTGCAGCCAAACACCTACAAGCACAGCAATGCCCACCTGCCTGACCAGTTACCTGAGCTCCCACAACAGCCAGCACCTGAGCTGACATGCACAAGCAACATTAATGACAGTCCTGGGGTGGTAAAAAGAGAAAGATCTTTGGAAAGATCAGAAACTACAAATGGGAATATGGAAACACTTCCAAAGGAGACCATGGCAAAAGAGGCCAAGCCCCAGGCATTGCCTTTCCTCCATGTAGTGAGCAAAGATGGTACCACTGCTCTACAGTGGCCCACAGAATTACTTTTGTTTACAAAAACTGAGCCCTGTATTTCATATGGCTGTAATCCATTGTATTTTGATTTCAGACTCTCTTTAAATCACAGAGATGGTAAACAGCATGAAACAAGCAAAACAAGCTATAAAGAGCACTCTATAAATAAGATTGCAGATGAAAATGAAGCCTCAGGTTTAATAAAACACACACAAATGTCAAATGAACAAGATAATCAGTTGTTGAAACCAAAGAAGATGAAAGGTTCCCTAAATTCAAGAAAGGCCAAGCAAAAAGCTGAGTCAGACATAGGAGATGAGAACGGTCAAAAATGCATTGCAGATTATTTGAATGAAAATATACCCAAAGTGCCTGCTTACCTTGATGTCTCACAAAAGGAGTGTGTGACAGAAAAAAGTCTTCGTACAACAACAGTGAGGAGACCTTTAAAGCATCATTTTCATAGCTGTGAAAGAAAAAACCAGAACATTCGAAATGAAAGCATTTCTTTTTCTGCTTTTATGTCTAGGATTAAGAAGTCTAAAGCTGCAAAATGTCACTTAATTTATTCTGAAACAAAATGTGAAAGCCAAAATGACTGCAGATCCATTCAAGATGTGGCCAGCTGTAGCAGTGATGTAAGTGACAGTGGAAAAGACTCTAGTAGAAGTCTCCTTAGTTATAAATCCAGTTCAAACAACAGGTATTCAGAAAATGAAGGATGTGGAAGTTATACGAGATGCTGGAGATTCCCATCTCCTCAAAAGTCCTCCTCCGACAGACATTCCAGCTATTCTGACACTTCAGTTAGCAGTACAAGTAGCTACATGAGCTACATGAGTCCCGCATCAAAAAATCACAGCAGAAATAATTTGCTTTTTTGTTGTAAAAGAAAAAGTAAGACAGCTGAATGGCACAAATGTAAACACAGAAAGCACAAGTGTATTTTCACTTCTGATGATACAGATGAGGATTATCTTTGTTGTAGTAGAAGTCACAGAACTAGAAACTGTACACAGAGGGGTACAATTAAATATCAAAGATGTTCAAGACATAAAGTTTTACAACACAGAGACAGATCTAAACACAGCAGATGTAGACACCGGCATTTTGGCAAAGTGCATAGTAGAAGTAGAAGCTACCATAGCTCCAAAAGTTGTTCCATCAGAGGTTCCAGAAGCAGTGAAAGATCATCTAGTAGCAGTATATTAAGAGGTAGCAGTTCAGGATCCTTCCCTAAAGAGACTGACAACTGTGACAACAAAACAAAAGAGGATACAGAAAGAATTTCTAACACTGAACTGGGAAAAGCTGAAACTGCACATTATGAATCTCTGAATGAGAATAATCAGTCAAAAAACTTTGCCACCTGTTCTTCTGAAATCCTGGCAAAAGACATACGTGGAAAAAGAAAGTCACTGACAGCCAAGTTGCTTTTAGAAAGAGTGCAGTCCAAGAAAACCCAGGAACAAATGCATGACTCAGAAAGATTTTCAAACACTTGTGGGGTAGAATTAGAGGATCACTCACAAAGTCACTTTGCTCTTCAGTTTTCATCATCAGTAGATGACATTGCAACGTTACCTTTGCCAGAGAAACTGCTAAGCATAGGTGAAAATGTCATGGGGCATAATGAAATCAGTTCACTGGAAACCAGTGTGAAGAAAAACAGCTTTGAAGGGCCAGAGATAACTAATGTTGCTCTTTCAACAGGCACTGATTATGATCATTGTCTTTTTAAAGACATCATTCAAATAGGAACAGGCTATAAGAGCCCAAGCATAAAAAGGAACACAGCAATAAAGGAACAATCCAATCTCTTCATTAGCAAAGCGCAACCCTTTATACAAAGCTGTGACCCAGTACCAAATGATTTCCCTGGTGCTTTTTCCTCTAATAGATACTCTGTTGTTGCTAATTCAACAGAGACCAAAGAACTACACGATGTAAACATGGACCCAAACCAGGAAGAAGGCGGTTCAGACTCTCTTTGTGACAATGCTATGCAGAAGTATGCTGACACAGTAAATGACCTTGAAGTGTACCGTAAATCCACCTCCCCTCCTTTAACACAGCAGCCTATCACCTTTTCACCAGAGGAGGTAGACAAATACAGGTTACTTCAGCTGCAAGCCCAGCAGCATATGCAGAAACAGCTTTTAGCAAAACACCTGAAAGTTTTGCCTGCCCCAGGACCAGCTGCCTTCTCTGCAACACCAGCAGTTCCTGCCCTCCCTGTTCAGCAGCATGCCACTGTCACCACCATCCACCACACACTATTGCAACGCTTTGCTGTCTCAGCATCTGTGCATCCCCACAGCAACCATCTCTCCCTGGCACACCTCCACCCCCTCTCTCAGGCCCATTTCACTCCCATATCACTTTCCCCTTTAGCACCAGCCCTTATTCCCACCCACCCTGCTTTGCTGACAGGACACCCGTTGCACTTGGTCTCCACCTCCCCCCTCCACCCTTCCCCACTGACCTTCACCCTCCCCTACCCTGTCACACACTGCATATATCCCAGCCTTATTTACACCACACCTGAATGCAGCCACACCTGCTATATATCCAAATCCATTAGTCCAGCCATTATTCCAAGGGCAAGATCCCCACCACTATTCGTGCTCTAGCCAGACCCAACAGTTACCTACAATAAAAGAAGTTTTCAGTCTTTCTAGCTATTTAAACTAGCCCAAATGATTACAACATAGCTCCAAACCCAAAATGAAATAAGTTCTTCAGTGTTCAATCACATCTGAGGGAAAACATATTGTTTTACTGAGAGCACAATGACAAATATTTTAAAGTCCACATTCTGGCTGACAGCGTATGAATGTTGATTTTGCTCTTGTATCACTGAGAAAAAGCTGGTTTAAAGCCTTTTATGATAGGAGGACAGGGTCCAGCTAGTGTCATTCTACAGAAGGTTTGGAGAGAGGTGTGGTGTCTGTGACTTTCAGTAGGACAGGGACTGCAGCACCCAGACACAAAAGGACCAAGAATATTAACAGCAATGAGTGATTTAAGATAGCCCCATTTAAGGTAGAATAATTGTGACACATCTCAAATGTTGCTTTTCTGAGTGTGTATACACAAGTGCATAGTACTTGGTCTAGTTAAGGTATTTTAGACTGAACAAAAAAGAAGGTATCTGGGACCACAAGTCCCTGGTTCTGTCTCCTGGGCCCAAAAACCTGGGAAGCCTCAGAATGAGGGGTGCCTTGTTAACACTGGAAGAAGAGGGTCACAACAATATCTCAAAGATGCTTTAGTGATTTTATCCCTGGGACATGTTGCTTGGACAGTGCAAAGGGACTGCATGCAGTCTGGCCACAGGTACATAATTAAAAAGTTCCCTTAGTGTAGGGCACTCTGCTGGCACAAGCAGGCAGCTACTTTTCTCACTGAGCAAAGCATCCAAGGCAAGGGAAAGTAGAGGATGAAGCCAAGTTCTTTAGCATTGAATGGCTGTGCCTGTAGCATAGGGTATGTCAGGGGTAGGCTGCAGCAGCCCAGAGTCGCCAAGCAGCTAGGGCTGGCTTTGAACTTCAGAGGTCCTTGGCCAAGACTGCAACACTTCTTTCCTACCAAACAGAGCTCTGATGTGTAGGAGAGTCTTGCCAAAAAAAATGTGTAAATATGTTTCATCCCTTTCACAAACAATATAAACAATTGGCTGACCTATAAAATCATGTTGATATTCATAGAAATGCAGAAGAAAATTCTGAGCGGAAACTGGCTCTCAAGGTCAAGTCTCATAGAAAACCATGTCACAGTTCTCAGCATTTAAAAGTACATCGAATCTAAAAGAATATGTCAAGATAATCGCATGGCTTCCCAAACTCTTAACATACAAATTGAAGTTCTGATTCTGCAATGTTTGAATGCATGTATCCAACCTTCAGGGCAATGCGTGTTTGAAAGTGCTAGTAATGACTGTATTTGGAAATAGGTCAGGGCTTCAGCATCTCTTTGAATGGCACATTTTTAATATTTTTATAATGTTTCTAACTCAACATGGGATATTTAGCATGAAATTAAGTTTATAATTGTGGTTAGACTGCAGGCATGCTTCTCAATATAATTGGACAGTGAAGTGTCTGACAGACAGTACCTGTTTGTTTGGATTAGAAACATTAGAAATAATTTCATTTGCAATAATGTAGTGCACAATTAATAATGTATCTTTCAGAACCAAAATAAAACACATTAAAAAATTTTCAGAGGATTTTATTCCACTATATTTGGCTATGTGAAGAAACAGAAAATCTAATTGCAGTCAAATTGAGTATTAAAAATACAACTTAGGACTAGTTTTCTAACTTAGTTTTAATCAAACTAGATTGATCCATTGCAATAAAATGGAATTGTTTTAATTCCTAAAAGCAGCTGCTTCATCAGAAACTGGTATTGTGCCAAACTTCTCAAGTGGCTTTACAAGTTGTGACTGCTTGTTTTGTATTTGGAAAGTTAATGTCTCTTTGGATACTTAACATTTTAGCCATCAAATAAAAGCTGTCAGGAAAAAAACTTGGAAACTGAGCAGAAGCAAAACATTCTTGTATTGAAAAAATGCTGGTGAAGCCAGCACAATCAAATATCTTTTGGTTGGATTCCCAGCTGATTTATTAATTTCACTAATAAAACATATTCATGCCATTTTGGAGTTACTTAACTTTATAGCTTAATTTTCTCATTTAAATTGTAGGGAACTTCTTTATTTTAAATTATTGCTTCAGAATAAAGAGAGTGAGGAATTTTCTTTGGGAAAGATGTTAAAAATAAATATTTACACAGATTTGAAATTTTCCCTTCATTTTTGGCTGAATATCTTCCCCAAATTAAATCTGAATGTACATCTTTCTATACTTCTGAAACTTTATTTTCTGCGAATCAAACATATTTCACTGAATATGACTTAACACCTCTGAAAATTAGTACTTGCTTGCTCAGATGGAGTGCACTCTTTCAGTGAATCACTTGGAAACATTAGTTATAATTCTGTAGAAACACTCTGAATTGGACATTTTAAAGGAGCAGGTCAACCTGTCCCCTAGAAGAGGCTGATGAAGCTGCCCAGCCATCAACACCAGTTCACAGCTAATACCAGCCTAAAAGATACATTCCCAGCCCTACAAACTTTTAAATTTATGGGCCCAGTCTCATTCCTATTCAAGAAAAAAAAAAGAAAAAAATCTGTTCTCGTTGTTTATATGAGTTCATTTGAATCCTAAGTAAATAACACCAAGATAAAAAAGTGGAACAGAAGAGATGACAGGCTGGTCTCATCTTTAATGTATAAACACACATTTTCTATTCCTGCTTCTTATAGGCAATTCCTAGAGCAAGAAACCTGACCAATTGAAACTTAACAATATCCTACTATGTAGATATTTTGTGGAATATATTTATATATGTTTCCTTTAAAGTATGCTCAATACAATGGGATTCAAGGAAGGAACCAATTCATAGGTTGTCCATTCATCATTGTGCATACCAACAAGTATGATCTGGTAAGGCAAATGAATAGACAATTAAGATTAAATTTAATTCTTGGAACAATGGAAATTAGGATTTTAAGCAGTATTAACGTAAAAAAAAAATTAAGAAGGAACAGAAACAGCACAATAGCAAGACAGTAATCATTGACTACCAACAAAGGGGATGTCCAATGTCATCCTGAATACAGAGGAAGGATTTTTGTAGAGAAATGTAGTAAAATCATCAGCACAGCTGAGATGATGTATTTGCTCTAATTGCTGCCATATTTGTTGTTCATCAGTACTTCAAATATGCATCATTATTATTATTAAAAGCGTAATGGAGCCTGATGTGTGGAGCCGTGCTACAATTTTGAATTTATTTAGACTAATTTTTCAAAGAGTTACAGTATCCTGGTGGCAGTGATATATACACTCCGAGTTAATAACCTATTTCAGCTTGATTGTATATTCTTGACACATAATCCAAAAAACAGGTCACCCACACTGTAAAATTCCAATAATAAAAGTTTCCTGAGTTACACAATAATAATTTTTTATTTTCTTTCTAACTAACTGAGGCATTTCTGGAATACATTTAACATGTGTATTTGTTATGCATATTTGCATAAAAATACCATGAGCAGATTGATTTAAAAAGTTTTAAGTTTATATTTTAAACTGTATAATACTCTGGCTAGTATAATATGTAAACTAGCAATTTTGTTTTGTATTCTCTGTATAAAGTGTTTTATATTATACAGTAGCTAAGTGAATTGCACTATTGTACATGCAACATGGCTCTTTTTTAGGTTATTCAAGGAATTCCTGGGAATGTAGTTGATTGCAATAATTTTATTTTTTTTTTCCAATAAAAAGGCTTACTGGTATAAAGAGTGACAGTCATGTATTTTTAATGTAAAGCATACCAAAAGGCATCAAAATAATAAAATGCAGAATGATGCAAAGATATTCTGTATTTTAATCTGCAGAACTGAAATGCATTTAATTCATCCCTGTGACTATAATCCTGAAATTTCTTAGAATGTTTCCTAAGGATTTTAGTATGTGTTAAAAAGTGGGTTGTTAAAATGGAACTGAAAATAAATATTCCTTAAAAAAATTATTCTATGTGGTTTTTGCAAGTACTTTGAATGTATCAACATCCTTCTGGATATTTTTATGCAGTAGTCAGTTTACAATTATATTTATAACTCGTCAGGTTGCCCAAGTAATGTCTCTGAGCTACGATTCCTAATGTTTGTGTAGAATGTCCTTTGGTAAAGAAGCTAGCAGTAGGATTCACAAATGTATTATTTATTCACTTTTTAATCATTCTTTAACACTTACCTTAGTCATGATAAGTTTCTCTTTATCCCATGTTTTCCCTTTTACTTCATATTTTTCCAGTTTGTTTATTGTATCCTTTGCTGTCTACCTTTCATTTATATTGTAAGCTTTCTGACACAAGGCTTCTGGTAGGTATTCAGCTTTGGAGGTCCCAGGCTGTCCCAGCTTCTATACTAATAGTAACTGTAAAGCTAGTTATAGGCATCAGTAGACAATTTCAGAAGTTCCATGTGTACAGACAAGCACAAAGATTGAAGAAATGTAAAAACAAGTGTCTGCATGGGTGCATGCAATAGGTAAAACTCTGTATTTTGAGGTGAGGTGTGACTGAGGTCATATTCTGTTGGTTCTATCTGCATAACTGCAAATACCTTGGCCAATCTCTGGGACCAAATTAATCTACCACTCAGCAATATCTCAAGACTTAGGCATTTTATAAAATCTTGAAATCACAGCAAATCAACAGAGACATAAATGATACTGTGTGTCTAATTCCATTCAATTGTGTTTCTTCATCAAGTTGTTTCATAATAAAAACAAAACTCAGAATTGGACAGACTTGAATAAAAAGTGTGGTGTGTCTGAAGGAAATCCCCTGAGAATTATTATCAATACTGTTAACTGTTAACTATAGTGGGCTTCCAATTGTGATCAGATCTCACCTGTTTGCTGTTGAAAAAATGATGTGATACTGTTTTGACTAGAATGTCATATGTGAAGATATGAAATTGTCCACACGTTCCTATTCTTTGTAAAGCCAGCTATTAATTACCCTTTCTTAAAGCTTGAATCCTGAATCTGTTTAACAGTTGAACCTAAGCTGATATTTTTTCTTCTTTTTTTTTTTTTTTAACTTTTTCT